TCCATCTAGCCCAGTAGCCTGTCTACCGACAGCGGCCAACCCTAGGGACCCTGGGGGGGATGGACCGATGACAGTGACCAAGCCATTTGTCTCGTGCCATCCCTCTCCAGCCTTCCACAAACCTTGGGCAGGGACACCACTCCTACCCCCTGGCTAATAGCACTCCATGGACCCAACCTCCATCACTTGATCTCACGTCCCTGAACTCTGTTCTAGTTCTAGCCTTCACAGCCTCCTGCAGCAAGGAGTTCCACAGGTTGACTCTTTGCTTTGTGAAGAACAACTTTCTGTTACTAGTTTGAAGCCTGCTACCCATTCCTTTCCTTTGGTGTCCTCTAGTCCTTCTTTATGGGAACTACTGAAAAACTTTTCTGTATGCACCCTCTCCACACCACTCATGCTTTTATAGACCTCTATCCTGTCCCCCCTCCGTCTCCTCTTTTCTAAGCTGAAAAGTCCCAGTCTCTTTAGCCTCTCTTCATATGGGACCTGTTCCCAACCCCTGATCATTTTAGTTGCCCTCCCCTCTCCCAGCCTCTCTCTTCCCCTCTCCCACCTCCTTTTCCCAGTCTCCCCCAGTTTTGTTCAATAAAGACAGATTCCATTTTTGAACACAATTGTCCTTTATTTTGTACATCAAGAAAAGGGGCTAGGGAAGGGTAAGTGGAAGGAGGTGAGGGAGGAATGGGGCACGAGCCCCTGATGGGGAGGACTGGGCTGGCTCTGCGGGCTTTTGGGGTGGTACCTCTCCTGAAGCCCCCCGATTGCCCCCTCTCCCCAGATGGCAGCCTGCGGCAAGTGCAGCCGGTCCGATGGCCGAGTGCTGTGATGTGCCCAGTGTGGGCACTCCGGGCACTCCAAGCCAGGACTGCTTTGCAAGCAGGGCACCCCTGAGAACTGTCTGTCCGGGGTGGGGGTCGGGACCCTTTAAGCGCAGCCCTCGGCTAGCCTGAAACAGCATCTCCATGCTCTAAGTCCTCCTCTGATGCCCTGCTGGCACTGCTTCCGGCCATCCTTAAGCCTGGTTCAGGGTCCACTTAATGTGGACATGCTAGTTTGAATAGGCCAAACGCTAATTCGAACTAGTTTTTTAGTCTAGATCTGTTAGTTCGAATTAGCTTAGTTCGAATTAAGTAATTCGAACTAAGTTAGTTCGAATTAACGTTGTAGTGTAGACATACCCTAACAGAGTTTAAAGACAAGATAGATAATTTCATGGAGGTTAGGTTCCATAAAAGGCTATTAGCCAGGGGATAGAAATGGTGTCCCTGGCCTCTGTTTGTCAGAGGCGGCCGCTGTCGGCAGACAGGCTACTGGGCTAGATGGACCTTTGGTCTGACCCAGTACGGCCGTTCTTATGTTCTTATGTTATGAGTGTTTTAAATTTTGGCATGTTTCTGTTTTTGTCTTAATATATTGCAGCAGTGAGTTCCAGTGATTAAGTCGTTGTGTAAAATGTCTCTTTTATATGAGTATACATTTCAACACATGCCTCTTTGTCCTTGCACTATGGGAAAGGCTAATCAGGAGTGTTGCAGCCAACAAAGGTTAATTTTTTATTAGACCCTGATATCTTTCTTTTTTAAAAGAGATTTCAAGTTTGGTAAAGGTAATATCATTGACAAAATATGGTTAAAAGTATATACTCAGACATTGTAAAACATTTACATTTTTACTGCACAATATTTTGTTAATGGAATTTGAATGGTATAAAATTAGGATGGCACATGTTAAATGGATTAGAAGCATGATAACAGATATGTCTTGAAACATAACTGCAAATGCAGAAGTATCATCAAAACTGGCACATTTTCAGGGAGTCTCACAGAGTTCGATTCTTGGAACTTGTTACTATTTAATATTTTTGTCAGTGACCTAGAAGGTAAGATAAAATCATTGATAAAGATGTAGATGACACAAAGTTTGGGGCAATGGTAAATAATGAAAATGATTTGTGACTGATTCAGAGTGGCCTGAATCTCTGTCTAATAAAACAATATGTATTTTAGTACAGCCTGCTGCGAAGTCCTATACCTAGGAACAAAGCATGTATTCCAATACTTACAGGAAGGAGGAGCTCTTTCCTGGGAAGCAGTGATCTGAAAAAGGTTTCGGGCTCTTGGTGCATAATCAGCAGAACATGAAACTGTGACCAGAAGACCTAATGTGATTCTGGGATGCATAAACAGGGCAATCTTCAATAGGTATAGAGAGGTGATTTTACCTCTATGTTTGGCACTGTAACGACTGCTGATGGTGTCCACAATTCAAGAAGACTGTTGATAAATTGAAAAGGATTCAGAGAAGAGCCACTAAAAGGATGAAAGGATTGGAACTCATGCCTTAACATGATAGACTCAAGTACCTTAATCTATTTATTTTAACAAGGGAAAGATTAAAGATTGACATGATTACAGTCTAGAAATATCTATGTGGGGAACAAATACTTAACAATTGAGTCTTCAGACAAGCAGAAAGCCAATGGCTGGAAATTGAAACAAGATAAATTGAGACTGAAAATAAGGCTTAAATTTGTGAAAGTGATGATAATTAACCATTGGAACAATTTACAAAGGGTTGTGGTGGATTTTCCATGTCTAGTTGTTTATAAATCTAGAATGGATTCCTCCCCCACACCCACCCACAGATAGGCTCTAGGAATTGTTTTGAAGAAGTTCAAAGGACTGTGTTATACTGGAGACCAGACTAGATTATCCAATGATCCCTGCTGCCCTGAGAATCCATAAATATTTTCTATACTGTTCCAATTTTTTAAAAAACAAACCTGTTATTCATGTTCCTTTATGCTTCTTTTTAAGGGCAGGTATTTTTAAAGGGGCATGGGGAAGGAGTTGGAGGCCTAACACCTTATGTCCCTCTCATGAATAGGAGCTGCTAAGGAGAATCAGACTTATCTGGAGAATGAGGAAAGGGTTAAGCAAGGGGTTTTTTTTCTTCTTTTGTTTAGAGTCAGAGCAGTTTCTACCAGATATCGAGGGAGATGGGAGACGGGCTCTCCCAAGAACGGACTCCCTGAAATGTGTAAGTAGGGAAAAGTTTAGATAGTCACCGGGTTTTATTGTTTTCCTTGTTTGGGGGTTTGGAAATCATGTTTGAGCTGTTTAATTGTATTTCTCTTTGTAACTAAGAATTCCAACCTGGAATTCTCAGGGTTCCTCCTGAGTCTATTTCACCCCATGGCTTTTTAACACCCAAACATTTACTGTGCTTGCAACAATAATTTTGTTTTCATAATACAAGTGTTTCCCTTTTTGCTTTGATTAACCAGAGTTAGTTGATTGTTGTGTCCTTAAGCCTATGTGCCTGATTAACCAGGAGGAGCAGAGCCCACTGCTCTCTGTGGATTCCCTCTGTTCGTTTTCACCAACTCCAAGCAAAATGGATGGTAGGGTGGAGTGGGGCGGGAGGGGGCTTTGCCTGAGGGACGGGATTCCTAAGTTATCTTTTCCCCGAAAAAGGGGTTTTTTTTTTTAACTCACTTAGGTGGTGGTAGCATTTCCTTTTGGGTCTCAAGGGGTATGTCTACACTACAAAGTTAATTCGAACTAACGGACGTTAGTTTGAATTAACTTTCATAGGCGCTACACTAGCGCTCCGCTAGTTCGAACTTAATTCAAACTAGCGGAGCGCTTAGTTCGAACTAGGTAAACCTCATTGCACGAGGACTAAGCCTAGTTCGAACTTACTAGTTCGAATTAAGGGCTGGGTAGCCCCTTAATTCGAACTAGTGGGAGGCTAGCCCTCCCCAGCTTTCCCTGGTGGCCACTCTGGCCAACACCAGGGAAACTCGTATGTCCCCCTCCCGGCCCCGGAGCCCTTAAAGGGGCACGGGCTGGCTACGGTGCCCGTGCCAGGTGCAAGCCTGCCAGCACCCAGCCAGCAGACCCTGCACCTGGCATGCCATGAGCCATCCACCCAAAGCCTCCCAGCCCTCCCCCTCTTCCCGGGACCAGGCT